TCTCTCAGGATGTTCCTTGGCAAGCACTTTGGAATACTTTGGTGCACCTCCCATGGTTCTCCAGTGATGTGACTAGTCACTGGTGCACCTCCCATGGTTCTCCAGTAATGTGACTAGTCACTGGTGTACCTCCCATGGTTCTCCAGTGATGTGACTAGTCACTGGTGTACCTCCCATGGTTCTCCAGTGATGTGACTAGTCACTGGTGTACCTCCCATGGTTCTCCAGTGATGTGACTAGTCACTGGTGCACCTCCCATGGTTCTCCAGTGATGTGACTAGTCACTGGTGCACCTCCCATGGTTCTCCAGTGATGTGACTAGTCACTGGTGCACCTCCCATGGTTCTCCAGTGATGTGACTAGTCACTGGTGCACCTCCCATGGTTCTCCAGTGATGTGACTAGTCACTGGTGCACCTCCCATGGTTCTCCAGTGATGTGACTAGTCACTGGTGTACCTCCCATGGTTCTCCAGTGATGTGACTAGTCACTGGTGTGTGATGTTATTTGCAGACAAAGATGTCTTGTGGGACCTGAAGTCCCAAAGTTGGCTTCCTTTTGCTTCGTGAAGCAGACAGATTGTTTAAGCCACTGACATATAAATCTGTTAATAAGCAGTAAAAGGATTGGAAGATACCAGAGCATCTATTATTTATCCCAACATCCGTAAAAATTCATATCCCTTTGTAAAAAAAAAATAAACCCTTCAAAATTTGGTGTCATAGGGTATATACTCCTTTAAGTGAAGGCTGGTTAAAAAGTATGATCTTCCCTTTGATATGAGAACCCTAAAACAAAAAAAAGCAAGGGAGAGTGCTAAAAAGGTCCTTGGAGCTTTCAACTCTTCAAACTAATATTGCTTTCACTTGAATGAGTTCCATCCTAAGGCAAAGACTCCTACGGAGGAGAACAAGTCCATACTTATACTTAAATCTGCCACTAACTTCATAACAGTTACACCTGCTAAATCTACTAGAATAGTTAGAAAGACCGCTGTATGTTATTTTACTGCTAGAAACACTTTCTAGCTGAAAGCAAGAAGAAAAAAATTATAGATCGGCCTCAAACCTCACAAACCTTTCTGAGATAAATTATTCCAGAGACTAAAAACTCAAAGCGATTATACACTAAGCGACTATATATACTATACTTGGCTGGTTCAGCAGGGACCGGTTAATTTCATTCCATGTATGGGCAGGCTGATTGTACACAAGTTGAGCTGCCAATCGACTTTTGTACATCCAGGCTTTCGGGTTTTTGCCAAATAATCAGTGACACCGACTCTAGCTAGCAGTGTATTTTGATGGCAGGGAAGGCTCCCCGCTATCAGAATACAATAACTCAGCAGGAAGGATACCCCCATCCACATCAAATGTGTAGATGGGGGGAATTGAGTAATTTTTTTTTTTTTTTTTTCCTTTAACCTGCTGGTTGAACAACAAAAAAAAAGATTAATCTATGGCCTGTCTAGAGATGTTAAATTTCCTATAAATTTTGAAGCCATGAGAAAAATGTTTTTCCCTGGAGATTTTCGGAAGACTTGAAAAATAAATTCAGTGTGAAGTAGTTTTACAAATTGAAAGTCTGGGAGAGTGAAATACAATGGGAATGGGAAACGCAGTGTATATACAAGTATTATGCTTGAAATAAAACTAGACAAAAGAGTGTTTCTGGCCTAAGAACTCTGGAGGGAAAAAGCTACTTGCGCTTTCATTATGGTCCTCCTAATGTCTTTAGGGCATCCTGGCATGCCAGGATGTGTTTTGTCATCCTTGTAGCATTTAGAAAAGAATATTTCTTCTCACAACATTTTGCAAATTGCAGTTTTGCTCTCAGCAGAAATTGCTCTGTGGAAGTGTTTCCAAACTCTAGATGTTGGTCTCATCATTTTACTGACTGGAGGAAAAGAAAAACCAATATACTGACCATGCTATAGGTAAACTTTATTTCTGTCGCTGTCATGGTGGAGAAAATTAACCCCCCTGGCGGCATTCCCGAGCGTAGCTCGGGGTAAAGTTTCAGCACCACAAGCGGTAACCCCGAGCTACACTCGGGAATACCTTGCAGCGTTGCTCCGGGATGCCTTCTGCACTTACCTTGTCCTGCACTCCCGCGATGTCCCCCTTGCAGCGTCCTCGGCCATCTCCTCCTGCCCATGCGGCATCTCTCATCTGGGTTCCGTCCACTGTGAGCGTCGGGACGTACGGGGACAGAACGGCGGGAAATTAAAAAATTTGAAAAAGTAAGATTCACTAAATACACTAAAATCACATACTATAACATTACTGTATCAAAGCATTTCACATACATTTTGTCCCGAGTGCTTTGTCCGGCACCCTGCCTGCATTTTTACTTTTCTTTCTGCCTGGAAACTGAGAAGTGTCCATGGCGTCCAAACAGCGTCCCTTTATTATTATACAGTATTTATAAAGCACCAATAGTTCACTCAGCGCTTGTACATTACAAAGGGGGACAGAACATGTGACAGAACAATAACAATACAATGCAAAACATGAGGGGATCGAGGGCCCTGCTCTTTCGAGCTTACAATCTAGGAGGGAGGGGATGGTGGCACAGGAGGAGATAGCTGTGGGGGATGGAGTGGTAGGAAGAGTGGAGGAGGTCGGCAAGTTAGCAGGGGGTGGGGTAGGCTTCCCTGAAGAGATGGGTTTTCAGGGTGCACCTAAAGCAGAGGAGAGTAGGTGATAATCTGATGGGTTGGGGCAGGGAGTTTCAGAGGATGGGTGACACCCTGGAAAAGTCCTGGAGGCGGGCCTTGGGAGGAGGAGACCAGGGAACTAGAGAGAAGGAGGTCTTGTGAGGAGCCGAGTGTGCATGTTGGGTGGTACTTGGATATTAGGTCAGTGATGTAGTTCGGGGCAGTATGGTGGACGGCTTTGTATGTCAGTGTTAGGATTTTGAATTTGATCCGTTGCGCAATCGGAAGCCAGTGGAGGGATTGGCACAGAGGGGGGTGGCGGAGATGGAGCGGTTGGAAAGGTGAATGAGTCTGGCAGCCGTATTTAGGATGGACTGAAGCGGGGATAGCCAGTGGCGTCAAAAGCGGTTTTAGACCGGCTAGAGAACAGCGATAGTAAATTAGAACTACTTGCAGAATTGAGTGATAATGATTCGTGGGGGAAATTCGTCATCAGACACTGAAAATTATTTTGCGACTTTGCTCATCGATGTGCAAACTTGGCGCTATATTTCAAATTTCAGTGTTTTTGGTTTGATTATATTATTGAATTAAATTTATTATTATTATATTATTATTTTTTCTGATTATTTATTAAATTATAATTTATGATTTCGTGTTTCAAATTTTATCCTACCCGGGATGTTTGCTAGACTCTGGTTCGGACAGATTTCAGTGAGTTATTCCTAAAAATTACAGGTCTACAATAAAAAAGTGACATATTTCCATGCAAATTTACCGCTTTGAACACAGAAATATGACATAATCAGACCGCTAGGGAGGTTAATAGGAATCAAAGGTTATAACGATAAGCTAATTTGTCAGACAAATGTTACCCTCTTATTTGTCAATAAAGGCTTGAGAGGAGATCTACTGTATCCCAACTCAAATTGTATGAGTTACAAGATGGAGCCTTTCCCCTGCAGCACCCCCTAGTGACATAAATGCATATGTCACTTGTTGAGAAGTGCATTGAAATGTAAAGTGTTACTTGAATTATATTCCAGGATTTGCAATAATTTAGGACTTGACATAAAGTATCAGAAATCTTTCATTAAGATCTTCATGTTATATGGTTTGAATACCAGATCCTAGTCATATTATTTATCATTGTAAAAGAACATATCCTTTTTGTTTATTTTTGTTTTTTTTATTTTTTCTGGAGAAAAAAAAAAAACAAAAAACGACCTTGGAAAAAAAAAAGTGGAAAAATGTTTTTTTTTCCCAATTTTTTTTTTCCAGGCCTTCCCATCTCTAGATCTGTCTCACTCTGACATGGATTAACAATGGAAGTAGCTCAAACTGAATGTAGCAATGATAGTCTCTTAAACCCTTGTAAAATGAAGACAGTGATCTAAAACTCTTGTTTGATGATAGGTATTTGGCAGTGGGAAGACTAAAACTTCTACAATTAGGAAATTTATACATCATGCTTAATTATTTGCATAATTTTTTCTTCTGTAGATAAAACAATATTACTTGTTCTGGCAAAAAGTCATCATTCATTCTGTGACTTGGAAGGTTGATTTTCCTATTGGAGTTATCTCTGTCTGATGTGTCAAGGTCATGCACTGTTTGTGCAGTTTTCACACCTTGGGTAGCCTCTTCAAATGAATGGGCTTCTCTAAACATGACATGAAAAAATGTGTGCACACTGTCACCCTTGCGTAAGTGTGAACAGAGCCTAAAATTGTTCTTACTTTACTGAGTTAAGTGTCAGAGTCTTAATTTTACTTTCAGTGCTAGATAACCTGTTTGTCCAGATTTGCAAAACAACACCTTACAGGTACCCACATGTTCACAATGCCTTTGTAAGTGAATGCAAACAATTGGCCACATATCCCTGTTTGGGATTGAACTTCTGTGGCTTCATCATCATCAGTACCTGCCTATGGTCATATTTGAACAATTCATCATGGATATTTTTTTCCACCCATTGCTTTCCAAGTAGATAGCGAACACAAGGTAATGAACACCATCTTTACCACCCAGTTTTATCCAAATTCTGACTAAAATTGCCATTTTTGGAAATGACCTATATATGTACATATGAAGGTAAGATTCACGTCAGATCTGGCACTTCCAGATTTGATCAACCAGTTTCATTGTGTCCCCTTTACATGTAAATTTCATGTAAACTTACATGTAAATTCTATGCATTGTATACACTGTGTAATTTCACATTTGTCCAATCACAAATGGATGTAATAATGTTTTCTTAAAACCAGTTTGTTCTGACTTGTTTTCCAAACTGTGTTACTAGTGAAATGTGACAGATCTTTATCTTTTTTACCTCCACTTAGAAACACGGCTTAGTTATTATTCCAGATGGTACCCCAAATGGTGATATAAACCATGAGCCAGTGGTCGGAGCAATTACTGTTGTAACTCAAGAAGCTGCACAAGTATTGGAATCTGCAGGAGAAGGACCACTTGGTAAGTGGAAAAACTGCATTTTTTGTGTTGAGAAGCATTTTACTTCTAAAGGAAACAAGATTAGAAAGCTCCAATCTGCAGTCAACTGTGGCTTTCTGAAACTGTAAAAAATGTAGAATTTTGGCCATCTATACATTAAAATGGTGAACTTTTTGTAAACAGTGATCTCTAAAATTCTCATTCCTTTCTTCTTTTAATTGGGTCACTATTTTTCCCAGAGAAAAAAGAATGCATGTGCTTTTTTTTTTTTTCCTTTTCAAACACTACTAGGATTAATTATGTTATTACATTAAGAAGTGCCTCTCACTTAACATTCTCTTAACAGAAGTGTGATTGCCTATGGCAGTATTCTCTAAACAGAAATCTCAATTTAAATTGGCCCTCAGTCACCTGCTCTTTTACAGTGAGGTGAAGGCATCCTTTTTATTCAAGAATATTTTGATGGGCCTTTTTAAGAGAAATGTCTGAAATAGTAGTCCTTCCTTCCCTCCCCTGATGAAGCCCAGGTTGGGCGAAACATGTCGGGAAGTGTCAGGGCAGTAAACAGCCAAGCGCTCTGCAATAGTCAATCCTGCCGTTACCAGTTTTATATTAAATGGAATTTAATTATATCAATAAATTGTGAAAAAATGTTCAACATAGAAACTATCCTAGTTATTGTTGTGCACCTACAAAATCCCACAACGTGTCCTTATCTTCATATATTTGTATAGGAATGTGGTGCAACATTGTGTTTGCCAACCACTTGTCATATTTCTAATTATCTATGGTCTGAAGTAGTAGTGTTTTGTTACTTCTAGAACCCAGGTATATTTTCTTCTTTAATGTTTCTAGTGTGGTGTGCCAAATATAATTCCTACAAGTTACATTCCTGTAGATACTTCACCAAAAGCAGTCATCCTGAAAAAAATGCGCGCACACACACACACACGAAAAACTAGATACACCCCTTGGAAATTGTTGACTTTTTCATAATTGAACAAAAGACACTGGTTTATTTATTCTCGAAATCTTATAAATGCAGATTTGTGAAGTGGAAGACATGGGTACACTTCTACGTTTACCATTTCTTCCAATCCATTACATTTCTGTCACTTAAATTTTATTGAAAACAGAGATGGTTGCTTACGGACCATAAAAACGTTGTGCAATAACAATAAGAACAACAACCGGAAGGCACATTAACTGCCAAAGAAAGTACAATTGAAAGGATTAGAAATAGATTTGGAGGGAGATTCTCTCCACTAACCAGGCTATAAAAATATTGACCAATAAATTGAATGGCAATTTCCTGGTCTAGGGATCATTAATGCAATATGCAATCCGAAAGCAGAGTGGCACTAGAAATTGCAGTGTACACTTATCTCTCCTGTCAGAAAATCCAAAGAACAGCTTGAGATATATGTACGCTAGTGTAGTTGGCTGTAGGAAAAGTTATGAGTAGTGCCTAGTTATGCAGGCACAAAGACGGTCAACGTGAAAATAAGGAAGGTGAGAAAAAAGAAGGGGGGGGGGGGGGGGAGTTGAAAACAGAGGAAGAAAAAAACAAAAAAAACAAAGGAAAGCAGTGGTAGGGGGTGTTAAGGGGAAGGGGGAATTGTTTCTACCCCTGAGGTTCTTTGTGGATATATTGATAGGCCATATTAGGATACCATTCCAAAAAGCGTACAGATGGTTGTGTAGATGGAAAGTGATCCAGCCAAGGCTTCCAAACGTGAATACATTTGTCATGTTTGTCATTTAATATTGCTGTAAGCTTTTCAATTACCTGCGTACCGTGTACTCAACTTTTCACTTCATCAAAGCTAAGAGCCAATGTTTCCCATGCTTTTGCAGTCGTCTGTTTCGTATCCGAAAATATTCGGGCTAATAAAATTAGTTCCCGTTTTGTGATACCATCTATTGGTTTATGCAAAAGTGCCTCCCAGGCGTCCTTCCGTAGATTTAAGTGTAGAACTGTGTTGACCAAAGTATAGACCCCTATCCACAGCTGCTTGATATTTGGACATGTCCACCAAATATATTTCATATCGCCTAGGTCTGAGCATCCCTGCTGGGGGGGATGGATAGGCGGGTTGGTATTTATCGATTTTTTTTGGCTGGGATAAAATACCATCGGAACATGACTTTAAAGGAAATTTTTGAGGGCAATTACATTATGTGAGGTTGGGAATAATGCCTCTCACATTTTGTTCCACATTTTGTGGGTTTGTATAGCAATAAAAGTCCCTTTTCTCAGCTGGAGCAATCTGATGGCATGTGCACATTAAAATTTGTTAGTATTGAGGAATATAATAGAGAGACTAGACCAGGGGTGGGGCAAACTTTTTGACTTGAGGGCCGCAATGGGTTCATATATTGGACCCGGGGGGGGCCGGACCAAGAGTAGATGAATGATGTGTATGTGTCATCCATAGTAAGTATTTTCCCCCCCATAGTAAGCATAGTAATTAATCCCCCCCTTTATATAGTAATTCATCCCCCCATATAGTAATTCAATATAGTAATTCATCCCCCATATAGTAATTCACCCCCCCATATAGTAATTCACCCCCCATATAGTAATTCACCCCCCATATAGTAATTCACCCCCCATAGTAATTAATCCCCCATATAGTAATTCATCCCCCATATAGTAATTCATCCCCCCATAGTAATTAATTCATCCCCCATAGTAATTTATCCCCCATAGTAATTCATCCCCCATAGTAATTAATCCCCCATATAATTAATTCATCCCCCCTATAGTAATTCATCCCCCCTATAGTAAATTCATCCCCCATATAGTAATTCATCATCCCCCATATTAAGTCCCCAAATCCCCCCTGTGTCAATTCACTTACCTTTGCTCCGCGCGTTCCTCTCGCCGTGTTCCCGCGCTGTTCCGGTGTAGCATGAAAATCTGTCTCCTATGAGGATCTGTCCCCCTAGACGTATCTGCGCATGTGCCAGTTTCAGGCATTAGCAGCCGATCGGCGATCTCCGGCACATGCGCAGATACGTCGAGGGGGACAGATCCTCATAGGAGACAGATTTTCATGCTACACCGGGTCTTCAGGGCGGACTGTGAGAGGAGCCTAGCTCCGCGGGCCGGATTAAAGGGTCCGCCGGGCCGTATAGGGTCCGCCGGGCCGTAGTTTGCCCATTGCTGGACTAGAACCTTGGGTCGTGGGGGATGTCCACTAATCCATTGCATTTCTATCAAGTGTTCAGATTAAGCACCAATGATTACAACCTCCTCAGAAAGTATGCAGGTGAATAAGAAATGAAGTGAAAACTTAGCGCTCAAATGGTGGAAACCCTCATCTTATATAGCGGGGTGAATCCAGAGTCGACCCATACTGGAAGGGTAGGCGGTGCAGCCCTCCTCGAATCTAGGATTACCACAAGAACAAAAACAGGGTGCAAACAGCTAGGTTTAAATAGGACACTCCTCTCCTGCATACTACAAAAACAGAAAAGGAGCAAACGCCCAGTGCATTTTTTAGGGCACTTTATTGGTGAAATAAATAAAATCATACTCACAATCCCAGTAGGCTAAAGGCATGTAAATACACAGAAATAATTTGCGCTAGTAAATAAATATTAAAATATACCTGTGAACAAAGAAAAAATATAAAGATATTATCCATGTGAATAATACTTATAAATACATATAAAGAGTTTTTTCTTATATAAAAAAAAGTGTAAAAAAAAAAGTCCAAATTTGAGATGTGTAATACAGATCCGAAAACAAAGTGCACAAAAAAATAAAATGTGACAATCCACCACCAAAAGCACTAAATAAACTCACCAGAGCTATAAAAAAACTGAAGCATATATATTGCTCTAGGGGAGCGGTGGTATTAGCAGAGTAATGAACCATTCATGGATGTATCTTCAGGGAGTAATATTCTGCAGAATCCAGCTCCAGGCAGACCAATTTTAATGAAGCAATGCTCTATAACAAAATACCACTAAGGAAATCCACTTCTCCAAAAGATCACTTTAATCGTATCTAAAAGGGGTAATACCAGACACTCGGAAGAAATAAAAAAACTTCATGGTGCAGTATTAATAAAAAACAGCTTCCTTTATTATGCACTTATTGCACTTATCTCAAAGGGTGTCCCAGCCGACCGACACCAGCGTTAACAGCATATAGGAATCACAGTGAAAACGAACCCAGCCACTCGCACATGCGCAGTAGATCGCTGGAAACGTAATGACGTCACATCCATTAAGCCCCGCCCTAACGCGTTTTGTCATCAACGTCCTCACGGAGCGGATCATGTAAATACACAGGTACGAAGTGCATTTGTCTGCTATCCAATCCAACCAGCAGATGGATGACACAGCCAACTGACACGTTGGATTGGATAGCAGACATATGCACTTCGTTTCTGTGTATTTACATGTCTTTAGCCTACTGGGCTTGTGAGTATGATTTTATTTATTTCACCACTAAAGTGCCCTAAGATGCACTGGGCGTTTGCTCCCTTTCTGTTTTTGTTGTTGTAGTATGCAGGTGAGGCCTCTCCTATTTGAACCTCAAATGTCTAGGGTCTGATGTTCTCCTTGCTATTGACAAGCGTGGTGTCATTGTGCCAAGATCAAAACAGCTCTGTAACACCTTCAGAAGTATGGTTGTGGATGCTCGTGAATCTGGAAAGGGATTTAAAAGATCACTTAAGAATTTGAAAATGATCTGCTGTGAAGAAAATAATGGGGTAAAATTGCAAACACTGCTAATTTATCTTGTGGTTGCTTTGCTGTTTAAGGGCCTCAGCAACTTGCAGTTATTGAGTCAGCTATGAATTTTGCATCATATTAAAGTGTACTTGATAAGGAAATGAGGCATATGAACCAAAAACTGAAGCTGAACCAGAAGAAAATTTTCAACACAATAATGATCAAAAGCACACTAGCAAATTCACAAAGGAATGGCTCAGAAAGAAGAAATAGCATTATAGACTAGTCTAAGGTAAAGAAACCCAAAACATTTTGCAACTGTTTATGCCAGAGACTGGTGGGCAGCTATGCAAAACACTTAAAATATATCATTTCTGGTAAAGGAGGCAATACCAGCTTCTTGACCCATAACTCACCATTACAGGTGAAACTCAAAAAATTAGAATATCGTGCAAAAGCTCATTTATTTCAATAATGCAACTTAAAAGGTGAAACTAATATATGAGATAGACTCATTACATGCAAAGCAAGATAGTTCAAGCCGTGATTTGTCATCATTGTGATGATTATGGCTTACAGCTCATGAAAACCCCAAATCCACAATCTCAGAAAATGAGAATATTGTGAAAAGGTGCAATATTCTCGGCTCAAAGTGTCCCACTCTAATCAGCTCATTAAGCCATAACACCTGCAAAGGGTTCCTGAGCCTTTAAATGGTCTCTCAGTCTGTTTCAGTAGGAATCACAATCATGGGAAAGACTGCTGACCTGACAGTTGTGCAGAAAACCATCATTGACACCCTCCATAAGGAGGGAAAGCCTCAAAAGAGAATTGCAAAAGAAGTTGGATGTTCACAAAGTGCTGTATCAAAGCACATTAATAGAAAGTTATGTGGAAGAAAAAGGTGCACAAGCAGCAGGGATGACCGCAGCCTGGTGAGGATTGTCAGGAAAAGGCCATTCAAAAAGTGTTGGGGACTTTCACAAGGGGTGGACTGAGGCTGGAGTCAGTGCATCAAGAGCCACCACACACAGACGGATCCTGGACATGGGCTTCAAATGTCGTATTCCTCTTGTCAAGTCACTCCTGAACAACAAACAACGTCAGAAGCGTCTTACCTGGGCTAAAGAAAAACAAACCTGGTCTGTTGCTCAGTGGTCCAAAGTCCTTTTTTCTGATGAGAGCAACTTTTGCATCTCATTTGGAAACCAAGGAGTCAGAGTATGGAGGAAGAATGGAGAGGCACAAGGACCCCGAGTATGGAGGAAGAATGGAGAGGCACACACTGCAAGATGCTTGAAGTCCAGTGTGAAGTTTCCACAGTCCGTGTTGATTTGGGGAGCCATGTCATCTGCTGGTGTTGGTCCTCTGTGCTTCATTAAGTCCGGGGTCAACGCAGCCGTCTACCAGGAGATTTTGGAGCACTTCATGCTTCCTTCCACAGACGAGCTTTATGGGGGTGCTGACTACATTTTCCAGCACGACTTGGCACCTGTCCACACTGCCAAAAGCACCAAAACCTGGTTCAATGACCGTAGGATTACTGTGCTTGATTGGCCAGCAATCTCGCCTGGTCTTAACCCCATAGAGAATCTATGGGGCATTGCTAAGAGAAAAGTGAGAGACATGAGACCGAACAATGCAGAAGAGCTGAAGGCCGCTATTGAAGCATCCTGGTCTTCCATAACACCTCAGCAGTGCCACAGGCTGATAGCTTCCATGCCACGCCGCATTGAGACAGTAATTGCTGCAAAAGGGGCCCAAACCAAGTACTGAGTGTAGCAATCGTGCACACCGAGATGGACACGGTCATCCATCTTGTTAAGAATCTTTCATTTTGTATCATCTCTCTCTCCCAAATCATGCTTCCCGGAGAAGGGGTCATCAAGCCATAAACCCAGCCCTCACTGAGCTTCAAAAGAAATTCCAGGTGATCATAAAAAAACAGACTTACATTTTAAAACCCAGTTTTCCATATAATTTTATATCTCCAAATAGGAAATAATTACACAAACCTGGAGCACTCTTTCAGATGGCTCACTGTAAGACAAGTCGCCTGGTATATTACACCCCCTATCTGACATACACAGGAGCAGAGGTGGACTGACCAATTTGGAAACTCGGGCACTGCCCGAGGGCCCGGGGTCAGTAGGGGGCCCCATGAGATGCCTCTGGTACCTTTTTCATAGGCTTTTTGAGTTTGGGCAAGGACACAGGGGCCCCATGATCCCCTATTGCCCAGGGGCCCCATGAGTTGTCAGTCTGCCCCTGCACAGGAGAGCAGAAAATTATATTTCCTTAACAATTCAAGCAGATATTTCATATCTAACCGTAATGAATCTCACTTTCTTAAAGTGTTGAAACTGTTTCTAAAGTTTTTTAATGCAAACTTAGAACCCCTGCCTATGAGAAGCGCTACTGTGTGTGTGTGTTGTAAACTTCGGCATATCGCTGCCTGCGGTGACAGTGGTATACCGACGATTATTCAAACATCATAGTGTTATTGGCGAGTTTCCTCTTTCTGTGTTCAAAAAGGTGGTGGTGGCAGTGTGAAGGGTTAATTGCGTAATTAACCTGACCCAGTAACAGTCGCGCTCAGGCTGCAGGTACTTCGATTGTGGTCCATTAGCTGGAAAATCGTTGTGCAAGTTGCAGCTGGGCGTGGCATTGTTGCGCATGTGACAGCGTGGTTTTAGATTGGCTAGTCCTTCGGTCACGAGTTTGGTAAGAAGGGCTGGGGTCTGACGCCGCGATCGTCACACTGAGTACATATGCATGCTTATACTTTTCAGAGGTGCGATATTGTTCTATGTACAATCCTTGTTTTATTGATTTGCATGTAATATTCTAATTTTCTGAGATTGTGGATTTGTGGTTTTCATGAGCTGTAAGCCATAATCATCACAATGATGACAAATCACGGCTTGAACTATCTTGCTTTGCATGGAATGAGTCTATCTCATATATTAGTTTCACCTTTTAAGTTGCTGCACTGAAATAAATGAACGTTTGCACAATATTCTAATTTTTCAAGTTTCACCTGTACATATGTTGATATTTTTGCTGAATAAACGGTTGAACAGGCAGTTTTCCTTGTATTTTTATTCAAGTATATCACCTTTATCTGTAGGCTGTTTGAATGAACATTTAATGTTTGCCTGTTTAGAAATGTGGAAAAAGTCAAACATTTCCACAGGCAGTGTTAACTGGTACACATGGCTGTATATGTATTAAACGTTTTTTATACAATTCCACAGTATTTAAACATTTTGTTCAGCTACATTTGCTCTACATAACATTTTCAGGTCAATTTACAGAAAGTAATTCCAATCAAACATTTTATAGTGTTAAGTCTCTTGCCGCAATGAACAGGTTTTCTAGAATTCTTTGATTTGTGGCTGTTAGAAGCATATAGACCCATGACATCATGGGGTTTATTTTACTAAAGCTGGAGAGTCCAAAATCAGACTCCCTTCTGCATAGAAACCAATCAGCTTCTAACCTCAGCTTGTTCAATGAAGCTTTGGCAATGGAAGCTGATTGGTTTCTATGCAGAAGTGAGTCTGATTTTGCACTCTCCAGCTTTAGTAAATAAACCCCTATGTTACTATTGTTCATAGGGTTATGGAAAGGGAACATGGTAACAGCAATAGCCGTTTGGACCATTGTTTTTACTGATGGCATTTCTTGTTTTTTTAGATGTCAGGCTACGGAAATTGGCCGAAGAAAGGGGATGAGCTTGTGTCACAGGTAAACTTCTTTTTTTTTTTTTTCTAAATTACTATATAATTTTATATTTGGAAACTTATTTTGGCATATTTAACCACTTCCCGACCGGCCGTTGTATACAAACGGCCGGACGGTGGCACTGCAGGGTCGGGTGGCCATTTTTTAAACGGCCTCCCCGCACCCTGCTTGTGCGCGCTCCCTGGGAGAGCAATCCGGTGCCCACTGTGTCCTCCGGACACAGTGAAACACCGATCGTCGGACGGGACCTATGTATGAGGTCCTGATCATGTGATCACTGATTGGCCAATCAGTGATCACATGCAAAGTAGTAAGCAAGATGTCACTTGTGACATCATTGCTTACTACGTGTGAAATCTGTGAATGATCACAGAGGTCACATGGTACAAGGCTATTCACAACAGACTTGTACCATGTGACAAGCTGTGACCAATCACAGCTCACTCAGTATTTCTCAATGGCTGCAAGAATGCAGACAGAGAGAGAAAGAAATGATTGCTTTTACATCCTATATGGGTGTAAAAGCAATCAGTATAAAAAAAAAAAAAAAAAATTCATCATCACCCCCCAAAAGTAGTACAGTGTCACCATGGTGACACTGTACTGCTAGGGTGACAGTATGTAAAAATAAATAAAACTGTAAAAAAAAATGTTTAAACATTATAATTTTTGGTTATAAACTAATTTGGCTTATTTTTTTTTTTTTTACTAAAAAGATAACGGAATACATTTTGGCCAAGATTTATGATGAAATACTATTTATTTGCAAAATTTTATAAGAAAACACTTTTTTTCAACATTTTTGGACATTTTCATTTACATAGCAAAAAAAATTAAAATCCCAGCGGTGAATAAATACCACCAAAATAAAGTTTTATCTGTCTCAAAAAAATGGTAAAAAATTCATTTGGGTACAGTGTTGCATGACCGCGCAATTGTCATTCAAAGTGTGATAGCACTGAAAGCTGAAAACTGCCCTGGACAGGAAGGGGGTAAAAGTGTCCGGACTGGAAGTGGTTAATACTGCTCTTTTGTTCTCTGTAATACAAATAATTAGTGTGATTTGCAGTGTTCTATTCTAGTAATTGTCTTTTGAGCAGTTGTCTATCCATTGACTAGGAATAATTATGTGTTTATCTTTTTTTTTAGTTGAAATCCTTCTCTGCCTGTGTCATAAAGGGGTTATCACAGATTATCATCAAGAATGCTCAAATATGCCTGTCCAGCTCCTCCATTCATACAAGCCCTACTACAGCTTCCATGAATGAAGCGTGATCTATGAATAGAGGGAGCAGACCTATTCGTCATCTGCCCCTGGCACATTCTTAGATCCTGTTTCATTCATAGACATTGTAGTAGGGCTTCTATGAATGGAGCAGCTTGGCAGGAAGGGTGGGCATCTCTTGGTGAGAACCTGTGATGCAGCTCCTTAGATATGTTAACCTCCACTGCACCAGAAGATTAAGGTGCATTCACCTTTCCAACCGCTCTGTTCCGCCGCCACCCCCCTCTGCCAATCCCTCCACTGGCTTCCGATTGCGCAACGGATCAAATTCAAAATCCTAACACTGACGTACAAAGCCGTCCACCACACTGCCCCCGAACTACATCACTGACCTAATATCCAAGTACCACCCAACACGCACACTCCGCTCCTCACAAGACCTCCTTCTCTCTAGTTCCCTGGTCTCCTCCTCCCATGCCCGCCTCCAGGACTTCTCCAGGGTGTCACCCATCCTCTGGAACTCCCTGCCCCAACCCATCAGATTATCACCTACTCTCCTCTCCTTTAGGGCACCCTGAAAACCCATCTCTTCAGGGAAGCCTACCCCACCCCCTGCTAACTTGCCGACCTCCTCCACTCTTCCTACCACTCCATCCCCCACAGCTATCTCCTCCTGTGCCACCATCCCCTCCCTCCTAGATTGTAAGCTCCAAGGAGCAGGGCCCTCGATCCCCTCATGTTTTGCATTGTATTGGTATTGTTCTGTCACATGTTCTGTCCCCCTTTGTAATGTACAGCGCTGAGCGAACTATTGGCGCTTTATAAATACTGTATAATAATAATTAGGAGGGGGGAAGGGTTGTGGCATTGATGGAGGAGGAGGATTTTAACTAAAAGAAGGAACATCAGCACAGGGTGACACATCTTACTGTGACTGTAAGTTATGTCCCTTGTGCTGATTTTTTTTTTTAAAATTTTGGCTACACTGGCTTTAAAAGAATGCAAAGATTTTATGACTCTGCCCAGTTTTTCTGCAAAGCTGCAACCCTGTATGGAAGGTTATATACTACTGTTTTCAGGGGTTAACTTCACACCATTGCAAAGCATTTAATTATAAAAAAAATAAATGCTTATGAGCGGTGGTGTGCGTTTTACATGCAATAAATTATACAGCTGAGCATAAACGGCAAGGAGTACCCTACACCAGTAAATATGTACAAAAAAATGCATATTAAAGTGATTCTGTCATTTGCCCAGTCAGGTCAAAGTACAAGTCCAGTTTTCCCTAAATAGAAAAGGAAAATACTAAAATTGCTTGTGGGAATAATAATTAAAAATGAATGCGATTCTCCTTTGTGTTTTAAAGTGAGTGCTAACATTTGAGCTGAAAAACAAGGTAAAATGAAGAATTTTATAGATTTTGTTATAACATGGAATTAAATTGTTTTTGTTTTCTTTCAGATCAGAAAGTTAAAGTTACAACTAGATGAGGAGAGACAAAAGAGTTCAAGAAATGACACTACCGTGACCGATGCAGGTGGATTAGAGAATGGTTCTGACCTACAGCTTATTGAAATGCAGAGTATGTTCCTATACTGTCTTTTTGGCACTTTTTAGTGATGGCATGAAATTGTTCTTCATTGCCTTTTTGTTTACTGTTCCCTCTTTGTTTACATGTGTAGTGCTTGGACACATCTCCCAGCATGTGCAAGTTCATTTGGGAGACACACAGGAAAAGCTGTCTGCCAGAGTCATCCTAATTTAGAAAATGAAACCTAAAAAGCACTTCTCTGTAAATTCCTCCAAATATATAGAGAGAAGGCCATGCATGCACAGATCGTTCGTTCTAACAACTGCTGATTTTTCTTATTAAAGCTTCTAATTTTAGAAAGTCGTTCTATTATGATGTACACATGTAATGTACTATGAGGCTTCTGCACATGTATATTCAAAACAAATAGTCAATGCTATTATAAATTGTGACTGCATTTTTCTTTTCAAATGAACTTCAGGTTACTTGCATGTGTACATACAAAATGTTGTTTGGTTGTGGTTACATATTGCCTGCATTGTCACTGTTGAATCAGCAAGGAGACTGTGGGGGAGGTCTTCCATGTGACCTAAATTTTCTTAGGATCTGATTAGGGAACGATGGCCTTTCTTCCTGCTTTCAGTTCTCAACTTCAGCTAAACTTTCCCTTCTTGATAGTTTTCAAATGTCAGAAGCAACAGTATGGATTCACTGCAGTTAAAAAAGAATTCTATGAGCAAGACATTTCTTTCAAGCTGAAAGCGGCATTCCACCCAAAAATGTTTGCCTCCTTCCCCCCTCCACTGCCATATTTGGCATTTTTTTGGAGGGAGCAAATACCCGGTTTTGACAGGTACCCACTCCAACTTCCGGATCAGTTCAGCCCCTTCCTTCCTCCCACAGTCTTCTTGGACACTTCACAGGTCCCAGAAGACTGCCAGACCAACCAGGAAGCTCATGCACAGTGGGCACCCGGCTGTGAAGCAGCAAGCTGTCACAGCCTGGTGCTTACAGTTGAGATGCCTGGGAGAGAGGAGGGAAAGAAGGGACAGCGCAGGTGAGCACATCTCTGGACCCTGGGACAGGTGAGTTTTTGTAGCTGCTGACATTTAATAAACAAAAATGACTGGAACTGCGCTATAAGGGCATAGACGTCATAGAATCTTGAGATACTACCAGGGGCGGACTGACAACTCATGGGTTTCCCGGGCAATAGGGGATCATGGGGCCCCTGTGTCCTTGCCCAATCTCAAAAAAGCCTATGAAAAAGGTACCAGGGGCATCTCATGGGGCCCCCTACTGACCCCGGGCCCTCAGGCAGTGCCCGAGTTTCCAAATGGTCAGTCCGCCCCTGGCTACTACTTCCAAGCAATGAATCTTTCAGTCAGCAGGTACTCTGACGGCACTATGCTGACCATCTATATAAAGGGGAACTACACTGAACACTAATAAAAGAGGGAACTACATTTTACCATCAGTGTAAGGGGGCACTTTCCCACTGTTCAATAACATGTGGAAGCCCTGCAGTTTTTACAGTCTGCATTTATTTTGTGTCCATTATTATTTCTTTTTTTTTATTTTTACAGAGAATATTTTTGTCTGTGAGCAGCCTTGGGTGTCAGATATACCCAGTACATCACATGGCTTATTCTTTTATTCCTATTTTCACAAAATGCTAATATTCTGTAAGAAATAGATATAGTAAATGTCAGGAGTTCTTTGAGGCCTGAAATATTTTGAAGGGTTCCCCTGTGTTTAAAAGGCTGAGACGAAACTATACATTTCAACACTTTACAGCATATATGGCAGCATAAACCTAATGCTTGCCATATGCTTAGTAGTTTACAGGAATGTCTGTTAAGTGGCTTTCTGTAAACGTGTGTAATGCTTTCAAAATACTTTGTTGATGGATGATTACTGGAGAAATTCTGAACTGTCTAGTCAGGTTTGCTGAAAGTGATTTTTTACTTTTTATCTTTCTGTGTGCAGCTAAAATTAAGCTGCCAAACAATGTGGCCTTCCATGACGTGACCATATTTTTGATAGTTCACTTATACAGCTACTTTATCAGTTTGCGCTTTGACATGTGTACTTTCAGTTAGTTTCAAAGACGAGTAAGAAAAACGTAGCAGTGCATTTCTGTCTCGGTCATTTCATTGATTTTTTTTCTTTTTTGTAGGAGATGCCAACAGACAAATGAGTGAGTACAAGTTTAAGCTTTCAAAAGCAGAGCAAGATATAACAACTTTAGAACAGAATGTAAGTACTGTGAAATAGCCCAGAATGTCTGTACGAATGTTTTACAATGTTTAAATGTGGTACATCGATTTTACTTCTGCTGGTCATGCTGTGAATTTGGAGGATCCTGAGCCAAGGAAATGCTCCAGAGTCCATGTTCCTCCATCTTCGGCACACTATGGCAGTCTCATGGTGTGACATCTGGCCTCAGCTTGTTTAGCAATTCAGCTAAGAGTAGGAAGAAAATAAAAAGCTGGCTAGTCGGCTTGACTTTGGGAAAACAAATATCCAATTCATTATTCACTTCTGCTTGCTCCATTGAATTGCTGAGACAACTAGGTAACAGAAGTGACAGGTACTGCTAGTTGAACCAGAGATAGTATAAAAATAATTTAAAGATTCACTTTCTTCACTCAAGGTTTCGCTGACCCTGAACCTTCCATTCTGTGTGTATATATACACTATATTGCCAAAAAGTATTGTATCACCCCTCCAAATAATTGGATTCAGGTGTTCCAATCACCTCCATGGCCACAAGTGTATAAAATAAAGCACCTAGGTATGTAGACTGCTTCTACAAACATTTGTGAAACAAAGGATTGCTCTCAGGAGCTCAGTGAATACAAGCATTGTACAGTGATAGGTTGCCATCTGTGCAATAAGTCCATCCTGAAATTTCCTTGCTACTAAATATTCCACGCTCAACTGTTAGTTGTGTTATAACAAGGTGGAAGCAACTGGGATGGAACAACAGCAACTCAGCCACGAAACTGGTAGGCCACGTAAAATGACAGCGGGGTCAGCACATGCTGAAACGCAAAGTGCTCAGAATTCGCCAACTGTCTGCAGAGTCAATAGCTAAAGACCTCCTAACTTCGTGTGGCCTTCACACTAACACAACAACAGTGCACAGAGAGCTTCATGGAATGGGTTTCCATGGCCGAGGAGCTGCATCCAAGCTTGCATCATCAAGTGCAATGCAAAATGTCAGATACAGTGGTGATAAACACGCTACCATTGGACTCCGAGCTCTCTGGAGTGACCAATCATACTTCTCTGTCTAGCAATCCGATGGACGTGTCTGGGTTTGGCGGTTGCCAGGAGAATGGCACTTACTTGACTGAATTGTGCCAAGTGTAAAGATTGGTGGAGGGGGGGGGGATTATGGTGTGTGGGTTGTCTTAAGGCGTCAGCACACCAAAACATTTTGGACATTTTTATGCTCCCAACTTTGTGGAAACAGTTTGGGGATGGCCCCTTCCTGCTCCAACATGACTGCGCACGACTACGCAAAACACGGTCCATAAATATATGGATGAGCAAATTTGGGGTGGAGGAACTTGACTGGCCTGCACAGAGTCCTGACCCTCAACCCAACAGAACACCTTTGGGATGAATTAGAGTGGAGACTGCGAGCCAGGCCTTCTCATTCAATATCAGTGCCTGTCCTCACAAATGCGCTTTTGGAAAAATGGTTAAACATTCCCATAGACACAGTCCTAAACCTTGTGGACAGCCTTCCCAGAAGAGTTGAAGCGGTTATAGCTACAAAGGGTGGGGCCAACTCAATATTGAACCCTACGGACTAAGACTGGGATGCCATTAAAGTTCATGTGCGTGTAAAGGCAGGCATCCCAATAGTTTTGGCAATATAGTGTGCGCATATATGTATGTATGTATGTATGTATATGTGTGTGTGTGTGTGTGTGTGTGTGTGTGTGTGTGTGTGTGTGTGTGTGTATATATATATATATATATATATATACAGTATCTCACAGAAGTGAGTACACCCCCACATTTTTGTAAATATTTTATTCTTCTATCTTTTCATGTGACAACACTTTAGATATGACACTTTGCTGCAATGTAAAGTAGTGGGTGTACAGCTGGTATAACATGTAAATTCGCTGTTCCCTCAAAATAACTCAACACACAGCCGTTAAGTTCTAAACCACTGGCAACAAAAGTGAGTACACCCCTAATGGCATCCCAGTCTTAGTCCGTAGGGTTCAAGATTGAGTTGGCCCACCCTTTGTGAGGGGTGTACTCACTTCTGTGAGATACTGACTGTGTGTTATTTATATATATATATATATATTTATATATATATATATATATATATAAATATATATATACATATATATATATATGCACACCTGTGCTCAAACATTTGCATACCTTTTGGAGAATTGGTAATATACAACATGTACCATTTTAAAAAAAAAATGAGTGAGCAGGCAAAGCACATTTCTTTTATATCTTATAGGATTCATATTGAACTGTAGGTCTTAATAGAATGACACAAACATAGAACAAAACATGGCAACAAATAAACAAATGAAATGATCCCTGTTCAAAAGTCTGCATACCCTTTGTTCTTAATACTGTGTATTGCCCCTTTAGCATCATTGACAGCATACAGTATTTTGTAATAGTTGTCTATGAGGCCCCAAATTCTTGCAGATAGTATAGCTGCCTATTCGTCTTGGCAAAATGCCTCCAGGTCATGCAAAGTCTTTGTTTGTCTTGCATGAACCACATATTTGAGAAATTATTGATGATAGTAAGGTTAGAAGACTGTGATTACCACTCCAGAACCTTCACCTCCTTCTGTCGTAACCACTGGAGGGTCAATTTGGCCTTGTGCTTCGTGCTGGAACGTCCAAGAGCATCCCATGAGCAGCTTTCATGCAGAAGAATGCAAATGAGTGCCAATATTTTCTTATAACATGCTGCATTAATCTTGCCTTTAGTTTTCACAAGATTCCCCATGCCTTTTGGAGCTCAAACACCTCAAAAAACATCAGTGAGTCACCACCTTGCTTCCCATTGGGGATGGTATTATTGTCACTATAGGCCTTGTTGACCCCTCTCCAAACATAGTGCTTTTGGTTTTTGATCATAAAGCCCTATTTTGGTCTCGTCACTCCAGTGTGCCAGAAGCTATGGTTGATCTGGATGGACTTTTGTCTTTTTTCAGCCAGACTAACTATGTAACTATGAAGCTGTTAGGTGCCTCATGGCGTTGTTGGGCATATTATAAAACTGGCTTTTTTGTGATGTTGGCGCAGTAAAGACTTCTTTCTGGCAATTCGCTCATGTAGCTCATTATTGTCCAAGCATTGTCGTATTGTGCTTCTTGAAACAACCACTCTGCCTTTTTCCAGAGCAGTCTGTATTTCTCCTGATGTTACCTGTGGCTTTTTCTTTGTATCCCGAACAATTCTTCTGACATTTGTGGCTGCAATCTTTCTTGGTCTACCTGACCTTGACATCAAGAAATCCTCAAATTTTCCACATCTTAGTGAGTGATTGAACAGTACTGACTGGTATATTCAAGGCTTTGGATATCTTTTTATATCCTTGTACCAAGGCCAAACATTCCAGGGTATGTAAACTTTTGATCAGGGCCATTTAGGTGATTTCTGTTATTAGGATTTAAAAAGGAGCCAAACTATGTGATAATGAATGGCTTCTTATGATCATTAGCCTTAAATGAAAGACTGTTTTTGGTATGATCTGCCATGTTTTCAATACCAATACCAAAATTTCTCGATTTCTGGCAGGGTATGCAAACTTTTGAGCACAACTGTGTGTTGTAGTATGTGTGAATAAATATATATATGTATTTATAATATTAAAAAAAAAAAAATATATATATTATATAATATAAAAAATATATATATATATATTTTATATATATATTTTAATATATATAATATATATTATATATATATATATATATATAATATATATATATATATTTTTATATATATAAATATATATATATATATTTATATAAAATTATATATATATTTTTTTTTATTTATATATATATATATATATATATATATATATTTATATATATATACACGTACTGTGTGTGTATAAAGTACACACAGACACTCGCCACTGTTTTTAAAGCTTGTAAAGGTAAATTAACATGGTTATGTTTCGGAATAGTTTCTTGTGTTTAAAGAAGTCTCTTTTTCTGTTCTGAATGTTATAGGTTCTTAGGCTTGAAGGACAGGTAGCAAGATATAAAACCGCAGCAGAAAATGCAGAAAAAGTAGAAGATGACCTTAAGGCAGAAAAACGAAAACTTCAAAGAGAGGTAATTACCTGATGTATAATAATTTATAAGATAAAAAAAAAGTTTGTGTCTGTTGAAAAATATGCATTACAGTTTTCATGTTCCTTATGTGTTTTATACAGTTCTGCATTTTTATTATATTTTGCGGTCATTACACAAAAAAAATCAATACCCAAAAATTCCAAAAGAAGAGTTCCTTCTAGCAGCCAGTAAGGGCTAATGGTCAAATGACAGCACTAAATATTTATACTGTAATATAATAAGAAGCAAAAAGCTATATTAAGGGGATGTTTTTAGCTTAAAGGGAAACTAAATAAATAACCTGTTACTTTATAGCTCGATTTCTTTTTAAAAAATAAAATTAAATTTTTACTTTTTTTTTTTTATACACAATAATTTTTGTTTTACAAATAAACAGTATGTTACAAAGGATTGCCAGAACACTCTGGGGAGACCATACAGCATGGGGTGCCTACTTTGGAGTCATATTTGAATAAAATATCAGACTGAACTGTCTGATAAGGGGGGGGGGGGGGTCATCCACTTCTGTGTGTCAATTGCAGCTTTAGCTAA